AAATTTATGCAAGAATAAGGGATTGTTAATTATTGTTATGGAGAGTAGAGAATTTATTAAAGTTAATTATCTTAAGAATAAAACAATTTTGAAAATCAAATCAAAAACGTCATAATTAAATGGTTCCCCTAATATCTTAAATTAGATTTAATTTGCTAAAACTACAAGTAATTTATTTTTGTTCTGTTTTTTAAACTATACACGTTTTGAATGATTAGTTTTTAATCACAATTCAGCTATGAATAATGTGGTTTATATGCTCGTTATACAAAATATAACCAAGTATAAATATTTAAGTAACTAATTTAATAGTTTTTATTATTGTGATTATTTGCTTGGTGATTAAAAACTGTTTTACAATTCACTTGTTAATAACCATGGTTAGCTGAGATTATTTAAATGGCATTCGTGTCGTTAGGCTAATAAATAATAAGTATTTATTTATCACTAGAATTATCACAATATTTTGCCTTAAAATACTGCATATATTTTCTGTATTAAACAAATGATTGATAACATGTCGAGTGTTTATATGAAAATAATTTACGTGTTTTGAAACTATTAAACAAAGAGATTATAAAATGGCCACAACTAAAGACTTGGGATCCGTTGAAAGTCGACAACATTTTATCTCAATAGACAAATGGCATGTTTTTAGTCAAATGAGTGAAGAGTTTGTTCATAACATCCGTTCATTCATTATATGCGGAGAAACAGGAAATGAAGTGATTGTTGTGACCAAAGATGATGTGGTCTTTCATATGAATGTCAATAATATCACACAAATGACTGAATTGTGTGAATTGAAGGGAAAGGGTGTCATCAAAATCAGTGCCGGATCGAGTCATGTCTGTGCCCTCACATCGGCCGGTGATGTGTATGTTTGGGGCGATAATAAGTATAATCAGGTAATTTCATAATTTCTTAAATACAGTATTTGTTATTTAAAATGGTATATTTAGTACAGTAACGGCAGAAAGTGCTACATTTGTGTTAGCATTCATGTACAATATTATAGTCAGTAATACTATTCAGAATCTGAATTTCAGATATCAAACTCAATGATAGCACAAAACCTAGGTCTATTTAAATCATGTTTAATGGCATTTCTGATATCGTACATCTTAAGACATTACAATGATAAAATTAGCGTATATTATATTGTATACCTAAGTAATAAATAAGTACACATAATCCCTGTACTAACATAAATGAACTTATTAAATGTCTAGTAATTTATATTTTGAATACAGTTGGGGACCGGAAATACTACTTCATCTCAACTTCCGTTGAAAATGTCATTCAATTGTAATAATGAAAAAATTGTTGACATTGAATGCGGTTCACACCACACACTGGTGCTGACCGATGCCGGACATGTGTACGCCTGGGGTTGTAATGGCCATGGGCAATTAGGTAATGGCAATACCACTAATCAATCGATACCTATTCAAGTGATGGGAGTTTTGAACGGATGTCACGTGACATCCATTGTTTGCGGTGGAATACATTCACTGGCCGTTACGGACACCGGGAGTGTGTTTGGATGGTATGGCAGAGAGTATTGATTTACAATTAGAAACTTATTTTTATTGATTTATAATATAAGGGGTTACAATAGTTATGGTGAGTTGGGAATGAGTAACACAACCAACCAATCATCTCCCGTTCAGATTCAAAATTTTAAAGACATAAAAGTGGTTAAAGTTTGTGCTGGATGGAATCATACAATAATATTATCATCCGATGGTAGTGTTTACACATTTGGACACAATGGTCATGGTCAATTAGGAACCGGTGAAAAGACTAATAAAAGTGATCCATTCAAAGTAAACATCAACCACCATGGTCCTATTGTGGATGTGGTTTCACACGTGAACAGCAATATTTCAGCGGCCATTACGGCTAATGGAGTGCTGTATTTATGGGGCGAATGTCGGCAACCGATCAGAGATTTGCTAAATCCTATTTGTAAATGTTTATTATTTTCAAACGCAAACATATTTTTAAAATAATTTATTGAATTTATACCGAATTAGTTGTTATAAATTTTGGTTCAATATATAATGTCTTTGGAGTGTATGGCAAAACACAGGCGACGTATCGCTCGTTACCACTGACTGTTAAGGCCAGTCACCCGGTGCTCAACAGTATGGCTCAAGCCTTCGACAATTCCGATAACTTTACTTTTAAGTTTGTGATCGACGGCCACCCCATACATGTCCACAGAGAGTATTTGATTATACGGTGCGAACGACTCAAACCATTGTTAGACACTGATAGCGCAGAAAGAGAGGTCAATTTTTTGAATAATTTTTAAATAAATAAAACAAATTAAATTAAAATTTACTTTTATTATAATTATTATTTACATCCATAGATAACAGACTATTCTTATGAGGCATTCAAAGCATTTCTGAGATATCTGTATACCAACGATGTGTTTGTGGCGCCGGATATTGGGATCCAGTTATTAGGTTTGGCCGACACTTACGCCGAGACAGACCTCAAGCGAAAGTGTATTAAACTTATCTGTAAAGGCATTACCGTTGAAAACGTGGCCCTTATATACGGGTCGGCTGTTAAACACTCGGAGTCCGCACTTCAAGAAATATGTTTCAATTATGCTGTGAAACACTTTGAAGATGTGTTTAAAACTCAGGCTTTCAATGATTTGGATATCAATATTCGCATTCATTTTCTTTGCAGACTTACAGCAAATGCTGGGCTTTTAAACAGTAAATAATTAAATTGTTTGTTATTATTGTTTTATCAATATTTTGTTGTCTACAATATAGAGCACACATTGTAGTGATTATTAAATTATTATTGATTATACTGTACAAATAATTTTATATTTACGGCATAACTAAATGTTAAGTTGTTAATTGCAGCTGAAATATACTTTTAATAAATTAAAGTATTTTGTGCACTATAATAATTATAAATTATAATATTTAGCTTCAAATTAATTAATAATTAACCAAACAAATAATCATTTCTTAATATTGAAATTATTAAGTTCTAAATATAATTACGTAATTACTAGTGAAAGTGGTATATGGTTAAATCATTTTCTCAACTATGTTTTGTTTCATGTTGTTTTATAAATTAGAAAATTCTGTTAGATCAAAATAATTATACGTTTTTAACCAACGATTTATTAAAATCCCAAATTTGTGTTAAAACTAACTTAAATATGAATTGCAGTGAATTTAAGACTTTTGTTAAAAACAATCCGAATTCATTAAATTCTGTAAAATTTAACATTTAAAATAAAAACTAATTATATTATCAAATTGTGATTATATTTTAATAATTTTCAAAAATATTCAATAAATTTTTGTTCTTTATTTGTTCTTTTTCCATAAATAATTATGCAAAATGTTTTCTTTTTAATGACCATAAGGTGGTCACATTACAAAGCAATACAACAGACATTAAAAGCTTTTAAGTAAATGATAATTATACATACATAACCTATTGATGCCTTTTTCTTAGTATTTATCACTATTTTCTCGGTAAATATCTTTATAATAACTTATTGTTATTATTGTGCAAATATGTTATAAAATTTGTGCCATTGGTGAGATATAAAACATGATGAAAATTATATTATCCATGGATAATTAGTTTTTATTTTTTTAATAAAAAATTTGATTTATAATTTTCATTATGTTTGATATCTGACCAATGGCACAAAAGTGAATTTTATAACATATTTGCACAATAACATATATTAAACTTGGTTTGTGGTATCTAAGAATGTTGACTTAAAAATGATGCCATTTTAGTAATCCTAGCTGCACCAGATCGCGTTTAAGTTAGGTATTTAATTTGTCCGAATATATCAATTTTGAAGAGCTGATCATAAAATTTACTTATGATTTTGGGAATAAACTTATTAGTATCGTAATTACTATACATTTCAATTAATGTATTAAACGAATAAAATTGTGATTAAATTAAATACTGTAAGTGTTTTTAACAACAATTATTATTTATTGTAAATAAATTATTAATTATAATTATTAATTTGAAGGTTAGGATTATTGTTTGATAACTAATAAATTAAAATGTAATGTTTTGAATTATAATTAATTGCTTATCATTGTATAGTAATGTTAAATTAGCAACTTAATAATTAGAAAATAAGTTTTTTTAATTTATAAAATTAATAAATGCACTGTTATTTTGTTTTATTGATTGTTTTCAATCAATTTATTTTTGCCTTTACATCACTCAATGGTATCGTAAGGGAAGTCCTTAAAAGAGACTTGTGTTCAACACTTTGTGGTCAGACATAAGGGTTTAATATGTAATTTATTTTATAATATTGAGAAATTACAACATATGACCAAGTATAAATATTTAAGTAACTAATTTAATAGTTTTTATTATTGTGTTTAACTGTTTTACAATTCACTTGTTAATAACCATGGTTTACTGAGATTATTCAAATGGCATTCGTGTCTTTAGTCTAATAAATAATAAGTAATGATTTATCACAAGAATTATCACAATATTTTGCCATAAAATATTGTATATATTTTCTGTATTAAACAAATGATTGATAACATGTCAAGTGTTTATATGAAAATAATTTACGTGTTTTGAAATTATTGAACAAAGGATCATAAAATGGCCACAAATACAGACATGGGATCAGTTGAAAATCAAAAGCATTTTATCTCTACAGACAAATCCCGTGTTTTTAGTCAAATGAGTGAAGAGTTTGTTCATAACATCTGTTTATTCATTATATGCGGAGATAAAGTGATTGTTGTGACCAAAGACGATGTGGTCTTTCATATGAATGTCAATAATATCACACAAACGACTGAATTGTCTGAATTGAACGGAAAGGGTGTCATCAAAATCATTGCTGGTTTGAATCATGTCTGTGCCCTTACATCTGCCGGTGATGTGTATGTTTGGGGCGATAATAAGTATAATCAGGTAATTTAATATTTCCTTTAATACAGTATTTGTTATTTAAAATGTTTGGTATGTTTGGTAGAATTCAATATATTCTACTTTAATGTTGAAAACTGCATATATTAAACCTAGGTACATAATTGAACTTATAAAATGTCTAGTAATTTATATTATGATTACAGTTGGGAACCGGAAATACGACTTCATCTCCACTTCCGTTGAAAATGTCATTCAATTTAAATCATGAAAAGATTGTTGACATTGAATGCGGTCTTCAGTATTCACTGGTGTTGACCGATGCCGGACATGTGTACGGCTGGGGTTTAAATGGTTTTGGCCAATTAGGTATTGGCAATACAACTAATCAATCGACACCTATTCAAGTGATGGGAATTCTGGATGGATGTCGCATGAAATCCATTGTTTGCGGTGGAATGCATTCACTGGCCGTTACGGACACCGGGAGTGTGTTTGGATGGTATGGCAGAGAGTATTGTTTTGTAAATTGATTTTTATTATTTTCATACCAATAGGGGTCGTAACGTATGCGGAGAGTTAGGGTTAGGTCACAACGACAACCAATTAACACCCGTACAGTTGCCATATTTCAATGAAATCAAAGTGAGCAAGGTTGCGGCTGGAAATGTTAGTACAGTAATTCTATCGGATGATGGTAAGGTTTATACGTTCGGTAAAAATGATCATGGGCAATTAGGAACTGGTGATAGGGTTAATAAATTTACCCCGTTCAAAATGACTATAATTAATGACCATGGTCCTATTGTTGACATCACTTCGCAAATAGCAAACGATATTTCAGCGGCCGTTACGGCTAATGGAGTGCTCTATGTTTGGGGAGAATGTCGACAACCAGTGGGCAATTTGATTACACCTAACGGTAATTGTTTACCAAAACAATTAATATATAACTATTTATAATAGTTTATAATTAATTTATTATATTTACATAACATTAGTTGCAAAAACTTGTGGTTCAATGTATGATGTCTTTGGATTGTTTGCTAAAACACAAGCAACGAATCGCTCGATACCACTCACTCTCGCCGACGAACACCCGGTGCTCAATAGTATTGCCAAAGCCTTTGACGATCCGATAATCAGTAGTTTTAAGTTTGTGGTCAACGGACACCCCATACATGTCCACAGAGAGTACTTAATTATACGGTGCGAACCACTCAGAGGTTTATTAGAAACCAATAACTCAGAAAATATGGTCAGTTTTATGGTTAAACATTTTAGTGATTTTTATTTTGTGTTATTATTTATATCAATAGATAACAGACTATTCTTATGAGGCATTCAAAGCATTTCTGCGATATCTGTATACCAACGATGTGTTTGTGGCGCCGGATATTGCGGTCGAGTTATTAGGTTTGGCCGACACTTACNAAGCATTTCTGCGATATCTGTATACCAACGATGTGTTTGTGGCGCCGGATATTGCGGTCGAGTTATTAGGTTTGGCCGACACTTACGCCGAGACAGACCTCAAGCGAAAGTGTACTCAACTTATAAGTAATGGCATTACCGTTGAAAACGTGGCCCTAATATATGGGGCGGCCGTTAAGCACAAGGAGCCGACCCTTCAGGATATATGTTTCAAATATGCGCTGAAAAACTTTGAAAATGTGTCCAAAACAGACACTTTCAATGCTCTGGATATTAATATATACAAGGATTTCATACGTAAGGCATCACTAAAGGGGGCTTTTAGTCGTTAATTATATTGAATGTTGATTTGTGTATCGATATAACAAGTATTGGTTTCATAAATTATGTTACATGAACTGTACAGTATGTTCATTATAATTACAATTTATGATGAATTTTTTGTAGCTTCTTATAACTTATATAAAAATTAGTATTTTAATAAATATTTATTTTTTAAAAAATTATTATATTTACTAATATTTATTACTATTCTATCTATTTTTGATTTTTTATATAATATAAAATTGATATAAAATTGCGATATTGTTATCTTAAGAATAATTTTTTGGGAATTGTAGAAATTGCAACAGCACTTATTGACCCACCCGTCCATCGCTAAAGTGGCCCTTTATTATAAGCCTATTTTAATACTTTTATAATCCGGTCTCAAATAAAACGATATCAATGCAAAACATTATCTATAGAAATAGTATACCACTCACTGTATGACATAACATGTATTTTTGAAAATGATATTCCTGAATGTTTATGTTAATTTCTAAATACTTGATTAAATGTAGACAAATATGTATGAAATATAAGAAGTATATTTAATGTATGATTTATTATTAACCTTGGTTTTTAAAAATTATTTAAAGAGTGTGGTTTAGTTAGTTTAATAAATGTAATAATTTGTCATAAAGAGTATTATCACTATATTTATCACATTTTAAACTAAATACTGTATATTTTGCTGTTTTAACGTAAGTAATAAAATGAATATTTATTTATATAAAAATAATTATCATGTAACATGATTCATGTTTTGAAACTTTTATTTGAAACAAAGGGATAATAAGATGGCTTCTAATGAAGACTTGGGATCAGCTGAGAGACGACAGACAATCCGTTCATTAGATAATTGGCCGGTATTTCGTTTAATGAGTGAAGAGTTTGTTCATAACATTCATTCATTCATAATATACGGAAAGACCGGAAATGAAGTGATTGTTGTGACCAAAGATGATGTGGTCTTTCATATGAATGTCAATAATATCACACAAATGACTGAATTGAAGAACTTGAGGGAAAAGGATGTCATCAAAATCAGTGCCGGAGAGAGTCATGTCTGTGCCCTTACATCTGCTGGTGATGTGTACGCTTGGGGTGACAATGAATATTATCAGGTATTTATATAACTTAACACACAAGTTACTTGTATAATGTATCACCAATTGTATGTACCACTTATCACAAGTATATTATAATTTTAAGTCTAATATGGAAATAATTATTACATAAGTATAAGTTATTTACAGTACAATATATGGTTACCACATAACTTATAATAATTAATTAAAGTACATTCTGGGCGAATGTCGGGAACCGGTGGGCGATTTGCTCACACCTACCGGTAATAGCAATCGTTTATTTACTCATGTATTTTTGCAAACAATTTATATAAAATTCATTTAATTTAAACCAAATTAGTTATGAGTTTTGGCTCAATATATGATGTCTTCGGATTGTTTTCTAAAATACACGCAACGTATCGCACGATACCACTGACTGTTAAGGCCAGTCACCCGGTGCTCAACAGTATGGCTCAAGCCTTTGACAATCCCGATAACTTTACTTTTAAGTTTGTGATTGACTGCCACCCCATACATGTCCACAAAGAGTATTTGATTATACGGGTTATACGAGTTATTGGGTTTGGCCGACACTTACGCGGAAACAGACTTCAAGCGAAAGTGTACTTTACTTATAACTAATGGCATTACCGTTGAGAACGTGTCTCTAATATACGGCGCGGCGAACAAAAACTGTGTGTCAGAACTGCAGGTAATTTGCTTCAATTATTTGGTGAAACACATCGAAAAGGTGTTTAAAACAGACACTTTCTATGACCTTGATACTAAACTTCATAAAGATTTTATACGCAAAGCTACATTTAAGGGGGTTTTAGTCGATAATTTAATTAATACATACTGTAATACACAGATTACATAAATTGTAAATTTAGACTATAACCAGAAATTACAATTTTTATAAGTTTTAATGTGGTATAAATTATTTTTATTTATTATAATTGATATTAATTTTTAATAAATAAATCTGTTTATTATTTTTATTTTAAAACTAAATATTAATAATAGAAAGAATGATTGTAAGAGAGAGAGAA